TTTTTTGTTTTTTTTTTTTTTTTTTTTTTTTTTTTTTGATATTTTTGGAAAATTCAAAGAGATTGATTCACAAATTGCCTTGAGGCGGAAAGAGACTGGAAGCTGAATTGAAAAAGAATAAAAATTTGTCGCGCGAAAACTCGGAAGTAGGTACGTATGTATTTGGTAAGAGGAAAGACTTTCAACGATCGTTGGAATTCACGAAAGGTTCGTCCAAGGAGAAATCACGTCCAAGGATGCGCATCTGTCGCGTTCCCTACGGTCCATTCCTCCTTCTAAATCCCAAAGATCTCCAAACCGTCGCTCTCTCATATTATTTGCCCGTGGTAGAACGACGAGGACTCTAGATTACAGTGTTAATCGCTCTTTAAGTTCATCCACGCTCGAGAGGAAAGATTCGCCTTCTCCCAGGCTCAACTCGACAGCTTAATACAATAACAATTTAAATAAAGAAGAAGAGAAAAGAGAAAAAATAAAAGCAGACAGCTACTCGACCCAGAAAATTCTTTAAAGTCTAATAAATCCTCTTTCTCTCGCGCTCGATTTCATTCTCTTTCATCTTCTTTTCTCTTTATCGTGTTCTGAGAGCAGCGGATTAACAAATTCCGTGATTTAATTATATTTGCTGGTTTCCCGTCAAACGGGATGGAATCAGAAGTAACTAACCTGCAACTAACCTTTCTTCTTGAAGATGTAACGATTTCTTTTTGCAATTGGAAAAAGGAATTGCACTGTTTGAAAATTGTTTCACGCGCGAAATTTCTATATAAGTGCAATTTTTCACGTAAAAATCCAGATCTCTGTAAAGTATATTTTCAACCCCCAAAATTTCGAGTGGCGCCTTCGTTCGTGCAATGTGAATTTTCATATTTAACATTTCCTCTTGAAGATTTAATGATTAGAGAAAGGAATTACACTGTTTGAAAATTATTTTACGCGCCAAATTTCTATATAAGTGCAATTTTGCACGTAAAAATCCAGATCTCTGTAAAGTATATTTTCCCGAAACTTCGAGTGACGTCTTCGTTTGTGCAATGTGAATTTTCATACCCAACATTTCTTCTTGAAGATTTAACGACTGGAGAAAGGAATTTCATCGTTTGAAAATTGTTTGACGCGCCAAATTTCTATATAAGTGCAATTTTTCACGTAAAACTCCAGATCTCTGTAAAGTATATTTTCAACCCTGAAAATTTCGAGTGACGTCTTCATTTGTGCAATGTGAATTTTCACATCTAACATTTCCTCTTGAAGATTTAATGATTAGAGAAAGGAATTACACTGTTTGAAAATTATTTTACGCACCAAATTTCTATATAAGTGCAATTTTTCACGTAAAAATCCAGATCTCTGTAAAGTATATTTTCAACCCCCAAAACTTCGAGTGACGTCTTCATTTGTGCAATGTGAATTTTTATATTTAACATATCCTCCTGAAGATTTAACAATTAGAGAAAGGAATTACACTGTTTGAAAATGTTTTTACATGCCAAATTTCTATATAAGTGCAATTTTGTACGTAAAACTCCAGATCTCTGTAAAGTATATTTTCAACCCCCGAACTTCGAGTGACGTCTTGATTTGTGCAATGTGAATTTTCATATTGAAGATTTAACAACTAGAGAAAGGAATTGCATTGTTTGGAAATTGTTTTACACGCCAAATTTCTATATAAGTGCAATTTTTCACGTAAAAATCCAGATCTCTGTAATGTATATTTTCAACCCCCAAAACTTCGAGTGACGTCTTCATTTGTGCAATGTGAATTTTCATATTTAACATATCCTCTTGAAGATTTAACGATTAGAGAAAGAAGTTGCACTGTTTAAAAATTATTTTACACGCCAAATTTCTATATAAGTGCAATTTTGTACGTAAAACTCCAGATCTCTGTAAAATATATTTTCAACCCCCGAAACTTCGAGTGACATCTTCGTTTGTGCAATGTGAATTTTCATATTTAACATTTCTTCCTTGTAACGATTTCATTTTGCAATTAATGGAAGGAATCGCACTCGTTTGAAAATACCAAACGTCTCGTACTTCAAAGATCCAGATCTCTATATAAAATTTATAATATTTTCAACCCCCCAAAAGCTCCGATGGCCTTCTTTATTTGAATTGTGAATTGCGCATCATCGCGCGGACTTTCCACGCGTGAAGATACGTGTGAAATATGGTTTCGAAAGGCGTATCGTACAAGCGCCTGGGCGCCTCGTATGTTAGAGGCAACCTTGACTCGATTTAAACAACGATATTTCCGTCGTTTCGTTTTGAACGGACACGCGTCTTCGAACGGGGGGTGTGGCGATCGGCTGCAGCCACGGGGCTCGTCAGAAATAGTCGTGCATTGTTAGCGGCCTCGACTGGTCGGAAAGTTGTCTTGAAATTTGCAGCGAGAGTTTGCTCTGTCGTCAGGGGACAGGGGAGACGAAACGTGTCCTTTTTATTCGACCATTGTCCCGCGTTCTAACAAAAGCTTCATTAGGAATCGATCCGAGGGTGCGAGCACACGCCATGGAAGATTAATGGAGATCTCAAGTGCTCGTACCCGCGACGTGCTTGACGATTTTTCAAGCGTATCTGCGACAGATATATTTCACCGAATTTCTCAGGATTTCGACGATCCTTCGGGATAAATGGCGGTGACAAATGACAGGGAGAAACAAAACGATTGATTCTCCTGCGGAAAAGTTGAACGCTGAACATATTTGCAAAGGGCGACTGAAGGGGAAGGAAAGAAATAGAAAATTAGTGGAATAGTTGATCCGAGAGCGAAGAAAATTTTACATTTGTTACGTTCTTTCGCTTCTCACGCTCGTGGAACGATGAACATGAGAAATCGTTGATCGAATCTTTTTTTTTCAAAGTAAGAAAAACACGTAGCCGAGATGTCTTCTTAGCTTCTCTTTTCGCCGACGATGTTGGAGGTTTCGGAGATGATGTCACATTCCAAGGTTGTTCCACCTTGGAATCGATCTCGGGCAAATAAGTTGATGATGCTTGGCCGAAGGGAAAAACGAATCGAGGGAACGTCGTCGTGTGGGATAGCAAAGAGTATCCTCGATGATAACCGATGTCCTCATCGTTCTGGCAAAAATCCTGATAAATATTAATTTCGGAATATGCCGAGAAATAGCTTTTGCTCTGTAAATAATTCAAAGACGCCTCAAAGCGATAACGAAGTGTCGTTGATAAAAAAGAAAGAAAAAAAATAAACAAATGCATTTTAGAGTTCAGCCGCAATGAAACTCTCTCTCTCTCTCTCTCTCTCTCTTTCTCGCTCGTTCTCGAAGCGTAAAACAATTTTTACCGTGCAATTCTCAAGAGGAGAAAGCAAAAAAAAAAAAAAAAGAAAAAATAGCTCAAAACCCCTCGTTTTCCAATAATCATATTTCAAATTGAAAGAGCTCTCGAACGCAAAACGAGGAATTCGACAGGACGATTAATCCTTGATATTCGATATAATTGCAACGAGGGCAAACCGAGCGAACTCGAATCGCTCTTTTCGCCGAAAATCCCGCACGCGTTTGCGTTTTCACGAGTAGGTTCTACGAATCGATGCTCCAACAATGTGACGATTTTTCTCGACGCTAACATTCGCGAGAATTTCGATCAAAAATTGGCAAAAATCCGATGTTTGTTGCGTAGCTATTTCGTAAATAGCAAGAGAATGAACTAACATTGAAGTGTGTGTAAAAATTATGGCGAATGAAATTATGTCGATCGATCATATAGACTCACGATCAGTCAGAAAAATTGGCAATGAAAAACTTGAGAAATTTGGAAAGCTTTTTAAAGCTTGGGACATTATGCCGCGTTCGCATTGTGTGGCGAGCAACTCGTGGACACTTTAGCGAACATCGGCGCGATTATCAAAGAATCTATTCGCGAAACTTTGTCACGAGTGTCAAGCGGACAATAAAGTTTGGAACTGCTCGTCACGCTGTTGTTGGCGAACAGGTCGCGAATAACTCGCTGGCAGTTTCCAAGTGTTCGCGGACAGTTTGTCCTAGACTTTAACCCATTGACGTACAAATTAAACAAATTTATTTTTCATTTTAACTTTTGCGTAAACTTAGTACAGATCGTTTTCATACTCGTGTATTTATATACTCGAAAACGTCATAAACGAAATTCAATGATGAAAGTGCGCTTCGAGCAGATTCTTCGATGCACGATGCTCGTCGAACGAAAGCTGTTCGCTGTAACCTAATCACGCGTGAACAGGGCATTTAGCGAATAATTCGCAAACTACTCGCGAGCTGGTCAGTTAGAGATCGCACGAAAACGACAATGTGGATGAAAAAAGAAACAGCTGTAACTTTTTCGATTGTCTCTTTTTGCAGAGTGTCCAATCTCGGAAGACGGGATGGAAAGGTTCGCGTGTCCCACGGCGGACAGAATGGGTAGATACCATTGCATCGACGATCACGCCTTGTGCGACGGTTTCATAGACTGCCCTACAGGCGAAGACGAGGACAGGCAAGCCTGCATGTTTTACAAAACTGTAAGTCTCCAATTAGCCTTCTCAGTGACTGAGTGTGTAATATTATTATATACGATATCCTGATCGATATCCCCGGAATTTCCTGCAATTATCATGCGACACGTAATATACTTGACGGATCTGCATAAAACACGTACTTCCTTTTTTTTCTTCTTTTTTTTTTATTTGCCTACGTTGAGACACGTGGGACAGGGAAAATTAATTAATTAAACGTCGCGCGCGACGGTTTTCATACTATTTCCATTTTCACGCGGAACGTGAAATTTACATTGTTGTTTCTTTTCGCTTTTCTTTGTAAGGTTGATATTTATTATTTTCAATATCTAGCTTCAAGGAAAGTAACGTCTATAAATATGTTACATCATAGTCTCGTCAATTTTTGTTTTTCCACGGGGAATTCTTTTTTTACAGTGTCCTTCGATTTTTCTCAACTGATTTAGTTTACGGTGTTACAACAGAGTACTGGTTACAACATTCTTCTCGACACCTCCGACCAATTGCGTAATCTCAACGATGTGAATTTGAATCACCTTCGTCCCGAGAATTTTGCAACTTCCGTCAGGAGATTTTCTGAAACGATACAGACTAATTCTGTATTTACTTATGACATTTGGGCAGTCGTAGTCTCTGGATCTCTTCTTTCCCTTTTTTCGAGGATTCGACACCTTGATTCAAAGTTTCTTCCAAACTTTAATCGTAGTTGATCGCCGAAGAGCGAGCAACCTTCACACCGTTTTCGCTAATTTCACACGCAATTGCACCATCTTCATCCACCAACGTGCACGCAAACGCTCGAAAGCTGCGGGGAAACTAATCTCTCGCGAACTCTGGCGAGAGCACGATAGATCTTTAAAACAAAGAGAGAAAGAAACCTCGTTTTCCTCTGGCTTCGCCAAACAGCCGGCGGAGAAAAGTTTTCGAATGCAGAGAGACGGTGAGAGAGAAAAACAATCGGTGCTGGATTCATCGCGCTCGCCACGAGGAGAAGGTGGGGGGAGGGAACATTTTCTCGCGGATGAAAGAGCGAGATTAGAGAGCACGGGAGATAACTTTTAATCTAATTACGATAGGGATCGCTTGGAAAGTGGCACGAGCACGCGAAACGATGCTACGGGAAAACGATGGAACGAAAAGACATTGGCACGCTACAGGGCTACTTGAAATCTTTTTGCCAACACGTGAATAGTTTACCAGCGTGCGAAGGTAATAGAATTTCCAATAATGGGAATCAAAGAGGCTTTCTTTGCAGCACGAAATGTGAGATATTTTTTAATAATTGAGAGACAAACATCCTCTGTTGACATTCGATAACATTCTAGCAATTGCAAACGGGTATTCCGTCATTTTTTTAAACAATACTCTGGCGTTAAATGCGGATTAAACACTTGGAATTGCAGATGCTCTCGAGTTTTTCTATTATTATTGTATAACTCCACTGTCCATCGTTATTTTTGTACGTAGTGAACTATTTATAGGATTTACTAATGCATCAGATCACTAATGTTACAAATTTTAATTAACGTATCATTTTCTTTTTTTTTTTTTTTTTCATATGTCGCCAATATTTTTTTAGTTCAGTATCTGAACGTTGAAAATTACTCTAGCTAAATGGAATTTCTAGTGAGTAAAGTTTAATGAATAGTGAGATGAATTATATTCTCGCGATTCTTAACTTTTTTTTTTTTTTTCTTTCTTCGCGAATACCTGAGCACCTTTATGGTCGTCATCTTTTCTTTTCGTTCGCCACGGTGGCAATTTCAATTCGTTGTTCTTAATGAAAGAACTTCGTCATCGCGACAGACACGTACGATACTTTTAACGTTTTATTATTCCAGCCATGAAATATCGCGATATTTTGCACTCCTTTGTAATCGTACTTTTTCTATTATTAATATTAACCCGCGATCGTGGCATTCTCGTTCACGCGAGCAATTACGATGTTACGCAATCTCGAAATATTCATCACCGATGGCTATCGTGCGACGGTGAACGTGTTAATTAACTTCATTTAAATGAAGACCTATATCACGGTCCTTTTTTATTTCTCGAAGAATTGTGTGCTGTTAGTAAGTTACACGCACGTTTGAAAGAAAACGAAAGAAATAAAGTTTCTGAATTCACTGACACACGCGCGCGCGAAATAATTCGACGTTTAATTTCGACGTGATAAAACGATTCTTCTCGGGTTCGATTAATTAACAACGAACGTTACGCAATTGGTACGTACGGCACGCGTAAACATTTATCACACAAACACGCATAACATTTGCATAAACATTGTAACAGGCGTGGTGCCCACGCACGAATCGTCAACACGGCGGTGAATTAAAACTGGCTAACCACCCTGCCAGAAAAAGAACTCGAGCGACATTTACGCTCTGCGCATCGCTGGTTCATTTTCATTCACGTATCGATGTTTCCTGTATTCCTCGGGGCGTTCCTTCGCAAATCAGGATACATCCATCGGTCGTAAATGTCTATGCATGAAACGTAGCTGCGTGAAACGTGTAAGCTCGCCGTGGAATTAATTGTGTCTGTCGCGTCATCGCTCGACGGGAACGATAAATCAAGTCAGGTTTGAACGTTTTACTGTCGCAAGGTGGCCGTGCCGGTTTTTTTCGTCAGTTTTTAAAATTCAGAATTTAAAAAAGTCAGTTTCAAATAAATTCAGAAACGTTCACGGTCTGCTCGTAAATCGTCGCTCACCTCGTGTTTGTTGATTGCCAACCAAGTCGCGCGAAATACTCACTATGTAGGCGTACGAATGTACGATCGTAGATTTATTTTTACATTTCGAAAAGTTCGTGAAAACTGAACATTATCGCACACGGTTATATTCGTTGTAGCTGTCTTGCTGACAGCGAGTGTTTCTTGTACGTATCTGGTCTCCGATATTTATTTATCTCGCCTGTTACCGCCTCGTTTTGGCAATGCAAATTCACGCTCGCGCGAGAACGTCGTTATGAAAGTGAAACCGGGGCAGAGGATTGGCCTTACCTGTTCAATTCTGCGGCAAGTACCACGCAGTATTTTGCATATTTTCTCCACGCCGCGAATGCTCCCTGTGAATTTTCACGTTTCTCCGAGTTTTCCCAGCAGCCTATAGATCGATAGCTCGTGAAATTTCTCTCCGTCTCCTGCTGCTATCGCGTGACGGGCAAAAAGCAAACAAAAAAAAAAAAAAGAAAAAAAAAGGAACTGAAGAAAGGAGAAGAAAAAAGAAGAAGAAGAAGGGAAGTCCGAGCGACGTTTCGCCCTCTCGCGGATTAAATCATCCGGCGAACCGGTTGACCTTTCTCTGCGGCTGATTCCGGCCCAGTCTCTCCGCCTCTTTGAAATCGATATTCGCTTCTTTCCCTTCCGGCTGGTCGAGCCGCGCCGAGCCACCGTTTCCTGTTCGTGACGAGACACGACCGAAGAAAAGAGAAAACGAGCCGGGGCGAGGAGGAAGAACGCGAGACGCGGGTCGCGTTGTCGAAATTGGCCTGATCAGCGTAGGCGGCACCCGGATTTGATTAAACCGCGCGTCGAACTCGCCCGGGAGAATTAGATTTTCTCCCGGGGCAGCGCCGCTCTCTCTCTCTCTCTCTCTCTCTCTCTCTCCCCGGCTCGATCAACTTTCGCGAAGCGGTAGCGCGGATTTTCGAAGGGGAAGTTGGCCAACTGACTTAGCGAATTTTTTTTTTTTTTTTTGCCAAGAAAAACGGCCTGGCCTAGCCATGGGAACGCGTATGGGGGCGGATCGAACCAAATATCGGGTTCACGCAGGGTTTTTTTTTCGTTACGGATGAAAATTGATTGTTTCAAAGATTTCTTTTTTTCACCTCTTTGTGTACTTGTTTCATGTATCACAAGCTCGCTCGAGCTTTGTACGTGGCGTTCGATAATGGCAGGAAATAGTGGGAATTTGATGCGAGGTTTTTTTCCTTTTCTTCACGTTTAATCCTAAATTATATTCAACCCCAGTCACGTTTTTTCTTACAATGAAAATTGAGTGTTTCAAAGGTTTTTTTTTCACCTCTTTGTGTACTTGCTTCATGTATCATAAGCTCGCTCGAGTTTGTACGTGGCGTTCGATAATGGCAGGAAATAGTGGGAATTTGATGCGAGGTTTTTCTTACCTTTTCTTCACGTTTAATCCTAAATTATATTCAACCCCAATCACGTTCCTTTTACAATTGTTCCGTGCCTTTAGCTATGTACTGCTAGCGAAAACAGTTTACAATCATAAGACTTATAGTTACTTACAGCTACTTATTGTAATAACAGCAATATTTTATAATTATAATTAATACTTGCAAATACAATTGCGCACAGGGCAATTGGTTCAAACACGCTCGGCTGAACTATAATATAGCCAGCAGAGAATTAGTTAACGAGAAAACATTCCATTCGGGCAAATTTTCTTCTCCGTTTCGTCTCGTTCGACGTCGCAAATAAAAAAAAAAAAAAAAAAACTAAAAAGAAACGTTAGATCCGTGCATCTGTCAATTCGCTCGCATACGTACACCTCAAGTTTCAAACTAAACACGTTGCTTTCACTTCGGACCAGGCAAATCACGAGCAAAACGCTATTTTCTCTCTCTCTGTTCCAGACGAAAGCTCACCTTGACGTATTGGCAGATGCCATTTTGCGATGGGCAAGAGGACGCTAATTCCTTTGTTGACGATGAACCTCTGACCTATGCATAAAATCATAAGTCTGACGAGTTTACTTCTTTATACATTCACCTATGTATATATATATATATATATATGTATATATATATGTATATGTATATGTATATATGTATATATATATATACACATATATATAAATATATAAATATATAAATATAATATATAATATGTATATGATATATTCCCATGTATGTGTACGCGTACACACGCTCTCGTGTACCCGGCACATATATTCGTGGTTTTCGTTCCGTTTCCAGCGAACGTTTCTCTTGCGAGCCGTGCAGGAGGAATAGAGGCGGATGAGATAATTTTTTTAAGAAGGTCGTAAAGTGTGAAACGATAGAGCAGAATATCCAATCTATCGATCTACGATGCTTGCGTCGTTCCGAAATTCCGTAGGGAAATGGCAAAATCTACCTACCGTAAGTAAGGTCGCGTTCGAAATTTCGGAGTCGATTTCACGAATCATCGGAATACGATGAAACGAACATCCCTTTAAAATATAAAATGTAAAATGAAAATATTTAATCTGTCGGTTTACGACACTTGCGTCACTCCGAAATTTCGGGAAGAAATGGCGAGTTTCAAATGGCCAGAATCTGCTTCTTAAAAATATATAAAACGAAAGAGCAAAATATTGAATCTATCGATTCACGAGGCTTGCGTCGTTCCGAAATTTCGGCGACGATCTCACGAATCTCTAAAGTACGGTCAAAAATGAAATCGCGATTGTTGTTTCAAAAATATATAAAACGAAAGTACGGGATGTTCAGCCAATCGGTTTACGAGGCTCGCGTCGTTTCGCACGAAATTTCAAAGTAAATGGCGAGATCTAACCAAGCAAGATTTCGCGCTTCGAAGTTCCAGAGAACGAAATTTCACGTGTCTCTGGGACAATTTGTCACGAACGGCGCTTCTCGGCCGAAGCTTCGCCTCCGCGCCGTGTCCGCTCGCAAAAGGAACGCGTGCTGACGAGAAGACGAACACACACTGCTCGCATTCTCCCCGTTCTCCCGCGTTTATTTTGCAGAAAGTTCTCCCTTTCTCCCTTACGTGTAATTGTAAGGAAGCAAAAAAAGAAAAAAAAAAAAAAAAAAAAAAAAAAAAAAAGAAAAAGAGGGAAAAAAGATTAAAAAANAAAAAAAAGAAAAAAAAAGAAAAAGAGGGAAAAAAGATTAAAAAAAGAGAGAGAGAGAGAGAGAGAGAGAGATTGCGCGCGTGCATGAGGAGAGTGCGTGGAAACGTGTGAAAGAGAAAGAACGAAAGTGTGTGTGTATGTGTGTGTGTGTGTGTGTAAGAGAGTGAGATGATGTTCACGTTGAAATCAAACTCAGGGGAACGTAAAGATGAATCGTCTCTCGAGCAGCACTCATCCGAATGTGCTCGATTCTCCTCGAGGGGGTTGATTTACGGATTGATTCCAAGGCGGCCTCGTTTACACGCGTTTGCTCAGCGAACGACATATCGCGGGCTCGTCGATTCGACAGGCGCATGCTGGCTGGCTCCTCGCGCGCGTTCTGCGGCTTGACGTTTCGAGGATGAAACGGCGAGAGAGACACAGAAAGGATTGTTCGATGACGACACGTCCGTAGATACTGTTGGACGACCGATGGACGATTGGACGAGAGAGGGAATATCGCACGGCGCTGTTCGTTCGAACCTTCTTCCATTTCTCTTGAAAGTTCGCAGACTTGGCAATAATCGGGGGGGGGGGGGGGGGGGTTATCGGGCAGACCGATTCCGAAAGATTTGAACTTACGTGAAATTACGTTATGCCATGTACGTGAAACTGAAACTCCAATGTCGGGACTTTACTCGCGCTGATTACATTCGCGCGTGATTTGTGAGTGCAATTATCTCTCGAAGCTCTTTCTCCTCTCATCTTCCACAGAATTTCTCGCGAATAATTCTTCACCTGGAGGTACTCTACCTCCATTTTCTGCCGCGAAGAACGAAAGATCAATTTCCTCGCTGTCGAGAGCCCCGCATTTCTACGCGCGGTATCATCTGTCACTTTGAGGGGAGGAATGTCACCTGTCGTTTCTCAGACAGGTCTTCGTTCTTCTCTGTCCAGGCTGTTTCCCGTTTAATTCGCCGGAGATACTAAGAACGATTAATTCATTTTGAATTAGCAGTGGCAGAAAGACACAGAAACTTCCCTGAGAAATATATATTCTTTCTTTCTATCAAACGCAAGACACACTGAAATTAACTTCGAATGTCAGAAACGAGACTCCGTCGAACCATTGAACCAGAAAATCTCTCGAAAGTTTCTCGTCGAATTTCTTGCAACTTTGCAAAATTACGGTGCGGGGGGGGGGGGGGGTTAGAACTCTGCATATTCAAATCACGGGACAATCAATTCGCACGATTGGAATTTATTACTCATTCTCCTCGTTGCCTCGCGATCTCCCGGTTTAAACGCTAGAAACTCCCACTAGATATCAAATGATATAAATTTCACTCGCGTCGAAAGGTCAAATGGGGTTTCGGCAATTACAATGGAAAGAGAGACGATAGATTACAACCCCTCGAAGATAGCCGCGATGCGGGCAAAATTACGGTGACCAGTTTCACGGACTTCAAGGCGCATACTGTCGAATTGGTATTGTCGATGAAACGATAAAATGCAAGCCGCAGACGCGCTAGAGACGAGGAGAACAACCAGCGGCGGACTTTTCGCAGTAGACAAATTTTCGCGTGTGACACGAGGCCGCCAGGTTGTGGCAACCGTTGTGGTAATCCTCATGTTAAAGTACAAATTAAGGGTGTCCGAGGTTTCAAGGGGGGGCCGTTTAGCAGTAACGTTCGCACGGTGCCGCCAGACGATCCGGCTTCCGGTCCCGAAAATGGCGCCGTCGATCCACCCCCGCAGCCACTCGCCGCTGCGGCCAACGAAAAACAATTAACGAGCGATTCCCGCGAGCCGCCGTGTAAAAACAGAAAAAAAAAAAAAACACTCGAAGGACCTTACTCGACGACTTTATTTTCGTACGACGCGAACGCAGACATTCACGCAGATTTTCCGAAGACTGAGAACGAAGAAGAAGAAGAAGAAGAAGAAGAAGAAGAAGAAGAAGAAGAAGAGGAGGAGGGAGAAGAAAATTTAAGAAAAAAGAAAAAAACAGAAAAAAGAAGAAAAACATAAAAAGAGAGCAACCACCTTCCACTTTCAGTTGGAATTACGCGCGTTTCGGGAATCACCTTTGGGCGGCGAAAGGACGAACAGTTTCAAAAAGAAAAAAAAAAAAAAAAAAAAAAAAAAAAGAAAAAAGGGCGAACAGCCAGCCGTCCAATGAGATTTCTGTGCCACGATCATGTTCAGCCATTTATGCCCGCGAGCACGCGCGCAAAGGATCTCGATCGAAGCGAGTTCAGAGAAGGAATCGATTATCGAGCAGTTATAAATCGCCTGAATCGTCCCATTCCCTCCCCCCCCCCTCCCCCTACCCGCCCTTCTTTGGGTTTCCTACTTGCTGGATTTCTCCTGTTGCGTTCCCGACGAAAACCTGCTCTTCTTCTCGTTTCTTTCACCTCGCCTCTTTAGAACGTACGTATTATATAGCTTAGCGGTAAATGTTTGACTGTGTCTCAGGCGATACCTTAATCTTAATCTGCAAATCTGTTCGCGAGTGTCACGTGGACAGGCGAAGCAGCTCGAGGAGGGTACGTTTTACCTTGAAACGGCGAGTTTGAACGTCTCATTGACGGAGAGACTCGATGATTCTTGGTATTTCGTTTCACGGTGGGGAGAAAAGTGTTTAACGATCGACTGAGTTGTTCCGACTTTGCAGAAGAGAAGAGAGAAAGCTTAAAAATCGTTCTCGTTGAGATGATCAAGTTGCCAAGGGGCGACGAGAGAGAGAGATTCTGTTGTTAAACAGAAATGGAACCTCGGGCGGGAAACTTGCGAACTCGCACGATGACGACCAGCCTGTCCACGTCACGAGAAAATGATCAGGCTGTCGACGATCGAAGCGTCTCGAGAGGAAACGAGACCAGCATTTGCTGTACTGCCGTGTGTTTGCTTGTTTATAAGAAAGAAAAATAGAAAAAAGAAAAAAGAGAAAGAGAGAGAGAGAGAGGAACATGAAAACGCACGTGGTCCCGAAAGTGTGCAGCCTTCTAGAATTCGTTGGAGTATATACGTATAATATATACATATATATATATATACTTTTGTTTCGTCGAATTAGGTTGTACGGATTTACGATTTAACGGGAGAAACAGAGAAAAAATGCTAAAGAAAAGAAAAAGAGTAAAAAAAAATCTTCTATGAACTATGCGAACAATGATGTATCGAGTCATCGATAGATCGCGATCTCGTCGTAAATCTCGAAGTAAAAAAAAAAAAAAAAAAGAGAGAAGAGAAAAGAAAATGAAAGGAAAAATATTGGCAGACACCGGCGAGGCGCGAACTCAACGCAATGTTTCAACAACGTGCGCAAGTTGAAAAGGGAAGAGAAGAGAAAGATGAAACTTGAAGAAGCGAAAGAAGAAGAAGAAGTTTCGAGAACGAGCGTAAGAAAACTCGCGAAGCGAATACACGTCGAAGCGAAAATCCTCTTTTTGCAAAAGGTCAATTCAGTATTACAAGAGCGTCTAGATCGTACGTTGTAAAGTTTCATTTTACGCTCGGACGAGCGGCACAGAGCGATCCGAGGCGATTGGCTCTCCTCTCCCGGTCCTCGATCATTCCCGAGCGGCCAACCTCGCGACGTTTGATGACCTCCCTCCCCCCCTTGAAACATCACGGGGCTGGACCCGCTCGTTCGAACAACTCGATGGTCCGGGAGTCGCCGTTTCTCCTTTCAAGCAACACGTCAAGTGCCAGAGAATCGAGAGCTCGTAGACAGACGCTTTTCCGTTTCGTAGTTCGACGTAGTAATTCGACGTGTAATAACGACGACTTTGTTTAATCGAGCCATCTGAATACAGGGTTGCACCCTTAACCCTCCGGGACCCACTGTCACTGTGTCAAAGTCACTTCCGTTTCCTTAAACTTCGAGCGTGTCATTTTTTTTTTTTTTTTTTTTTTTTTTTTCTGAGATG